CAGATGGAAAAGATGTAAGAATTATCAGGAATTTGTACTGGGACCAAAACGCTGCTGAACGAATTAATGGAGAATACAGTGAATATAAGCAGATTATGAGAGGAGTGAGGCAAGGGTGTGTTATGTCACCAGACCTCTTTAACATGTACAGTGAAACAATCCTTAGAAACTTAACAGACTGTCCAGGTCTCAAAGTAAATTGAAAAAATATTAATAACATCAAGTATTCAGGTGACACTGTTTTAATAGCAGGTTCAGAAAAGGACCTTCAATTGCTTCTAGATACTGTTGTAACAGAAAGTGAACATAAAGCATTAGTGTTGAATGTAAAGAAAACAGAATGCATGGTAATATAAAAAAGCAGCAAATCCTAGTTGCAATCTCAATAGCAAAGGTGAAAAGCTCAAACAAGTCCAACAGTTTAAATATCTAGGATATATGATAACATCTGATGCCAAATGTTCCATGGAAATAAAACAGAGAATTACTATGGCTAAGGCTAGTTTCAATAAATTGGTGTGCTCTAAATGATAGTCACAAAATTTGGGCACAAAATTTACAAACTCAAGATTGTAATACCGACATGGGGTCTGAAAGTGCTAATGCAGGTTCTACATCCTATATGTGACGTGTGTAAGTTTTGGAGGAATAATACTAACGCACCACATTTTATGCACACTAATGTGAGATGTATGTGTTTTTTCCCCACGTTTTGGCTATGGTTCATTTATCTGTGAGGCAGTGTGGTGAAATCTGGCTCTCGTCAAAATACAGAAATCGTGGAAACAAGCATTTTTCCGCCAGTTTGAAAATTTTTATCAAATTTTTATTTTTTGACTCCACCTCTTTTGTGTCCATATGAATACACATTTTCCTATAAATTTTGCTGAAAAACATTGATTAAAGGCTCAAAATATATAATATCTAAATCTAGTTGTTCTGTTTTTCTGTTTTTAAGGACCCGTTAGTTATTGGACTATCCAAACTTTGACTGCCATTTTCTCACAAATTTCACCACTGAAACCAGGCAACCTCACTTCCTTCAATTGCAAATATTTTGTGTACTATTCATGATAGATGTGTATTTATTTCATTGGAAATGGAAGCAAGGCTTTCAGATGATACAAATAACTCCACCTGCTCGAAAATGAACGAGCGCCTGATTCCACCATGTCGCGACATTTATAATAACAACTCTCCCTTCCTGATTCTTTGTAATTTAAACTGTTTACCTTTTTTTATTTTAAAAGTAAAAGTGAAGAGTGAAGACTGGAACTAGTATGTTCTATTTTATAAAACAAATATTCTTCAGTGATTTCCAAACTAGGCCTACTTGTCAGTTTTGTTTTTCTGCCCCTGTTATATATATGTGAGGTATGTGAGGCATCGTGGTGAAATCAGGCGTTCGTCAAAATAATGAAATCGGGAAAAGCGTCATTTTTCTGTCTGTTTAGCAATATATTTTTTTTGACTCCACTCTTTTAAGGTCTTTTATAAAACACATTTCTGTGTGGATTCTGATTTAAGGCACAAAAATTTACATTTGCAGTCTTTAAGGAATCTCAAGCTTTGGAAAAGACGCCAAACTTGGGTCGCCATTTTCTTGCAAATTTTACCTCTGAAACCAGATGACCCCCACATACTTCAATGGCAAATATCTCGACTTCTATTCATGATAGATGAGTATTTTTTTCACCGAAAGCTAGACAAATGAACAAGCTTTAAAATACCAATAACTCCACTAGTCCAAAAATTGACAGGCGCCTGATTCCACCATGTCGTGACACATATAATATGACAGTTATTGTAATTGTGTATTTACCTCGCTGAGTGGAACAAAAAATAAAAATCTCTATTTCAAACTGTTGCAGCTGTTGATGAGGTGGAGCCTCTTCGTAAACAATACACAAAAGTGGTGGATGCCTACGGATGTCTGGGAGCCCTTTGTTTCAACATGGGTAAGTTTAGATAGATAGTTCTCCAGTTATTGTACTGATTATGCTACTTTTTACTCAAATGAAGACCATTCTATCTATAATGATGTTAAGACTACATGTTTTGTGATACATTCATGCTCTTCTCTGTACATTGTAGAACGTCTCTTTTAAGTTGTGCTAAATAACATTGTCTTATTTTGTTGTCATGATTAAGATTATTATTGTAGAAGCTTGAGACTTTAAAAATACCCGTGTGTTGTGATCTGTACCTCTCACCTCCCCAGGCAATCAAAGACTCCAGTATTTAGTGATGGTCACAAGTTGTTTGTCAGTGGGAAAAATTGGCGACTCTGAGGTCTTTCGGATCTCGGCCGTACAGTTTGTGTCTCTCCGCAATGATCCTGCTGATGAAGACAGAGTTGCTGAGGTGAATAGGGTTTGGGTTGTATTTTTAGTTTTTTCTGGGGGTTTTTTTTAGGGGGGGGGGGGGGGGGTTGGAATATCTCACATGATGTTAGGCTGTTGCTAAAAAAAGGAAATACACATAACTTGTGGATGATGACCTGCTGGGGTTTTTTGTTGTTAGAGGAAGGTTGCCTCTTACACAAAAAAAAAGAAAGAGTGGATTTACTAGTAATTAGAATTTTTTCAGCTGGTTAAGCAGGTTATCACCTCCGTGTTACATGTGTCACTGCAGTTTCATTTCCTTTAAGTGGCTCTGTTAATTATGAACATGTCATAATTATTGAATGTAAAAAATAATGTTAGTCACTACTTCCTTTCACAGTGCATGCTTTGGTAACCTCCCTGACTCTGTTAACTGCTTTTACATCAGGTCATACTGTTCCTGGAAGCACATTTTTTTTCGTCACCACAATTCCTGAGATATGCTTAAAATGTCCCTTTTTTTTCTCTTAAAAGAAAAGAAATTAAAAATAGAATGAACCATGATCTCTTAACTTTTGAAGATCCTACTGCAACTAGGTTTAGATCTGTTCTAAGTCTGGACACTAATTGTTGTGGATAGTTGCTCTTTAGACCTAGTCAACTTCATATAATATAGATGTCAGCTCTGACACTTTTCTAAAATTGTTCTCAGAACATTTATTTTATGGCATTCTGTGTTGGGCAGGGTCAATGTTATTGTAAATGGTTTTTTTATGGGTTTTAAATTATTGGCAATGTTGAGTACCACTAAGATAAAATGCTAAAATGTGTTAGGAACATTGTCATTTTGAACTGTATCATTGCAATAAACCAAATGCTTTCCCCACTTTTCCCAGTGGCTATCCTGTGGGTTTCTCTCAGATGACGCACAGACTGATCACAGCTCTAACACTTTCGATAGTTTCACAAAGCTGATGCTAAGCAAGGCTGCTGGGTTATGAAGACTATTTGATGCAATTTTTTTGGCCATGTCTTTCTTTTCAGATCCGTAAATTACTGAGTTCTGGCACTTTTTACTTCACGTGGGCTGCAGGAGGCGATCCTTGGGACCTCAGTCTTTGTGCTCAGAGAAATCTTCAGGACCATGATACAGACAACAAGTTTTTTTGGTGAGAAGAATGTTGATTCTAATATAATAAATTCTTTCAATGCAAATATTATGAGATATTATTGATATATCATAGCTGCCACTTTTCCGCTAAATAGCGGAAACTGCGCTTCATCTAGTTTTTCACGCTACTTTCCTCCTTCCTCCGCTGGACCGCTCTCGTTCGCAAATTGCGATACTTTTTTTTTTACATGCGGAAAACACCAAACCGGGAGAGAGACAAAAACGCGGTTTGCTCATGCCTACCTGTAGCTTTCTACTTCCGTTCTTCTGTGCCTGCCTGGCGCTAGTTTCACATTGTTTATTGTGGAGCAACAGTGTCAATCGAGCATCAGAACAGTGGCGCGCCGAGTTGTCATTGAAAACGATGGAAATTGGAGAGAAATTGATTCGGAGTGCGAAAATAAAAGGAGCTGGAATGAGAAAGAAGCGGATGGTGTGCGACTTGAACAGTTCATTAGAAAGTTGAACAAGCCGCTTGCTGCACTTTGCGTTCAGTGCGATAAAGAAGTCGCTCAGTTCAGCGGCGACCTCCTTGATCCGATACTGCTCTCCGTCGATGCACAAGTTTAAAGTGAAAAAACTCTTTTTATGAGACACCAGTTGGCAACAAACACTGGATTTTTTGTCACCGAACTGTTCAAATGTTTGTTAGTCAACTTAGTGTCTTGCTTTTTTTGGTGGGTTTTTTTTCAAATACATTTTAATTCAGTAGCCTATGGTTAACAAATATAACAGTTTTCCCTTCCTAAAACATAGGCTAGGTTTTCCAATATATTGCCTCTGGATTTCACTGGTTTTACTCTGGCCTTCGGAGAGCGCGCGTACGCCTTCGCATGAATTTCCTCCTTTTTTGAAATTCCTGAGTGGCAGCTTGACATATACGGTGCAATGCCTGATCCCATCTACGATCTATATCATTGATATGATATTCTATCTTTAGTTTTCTTTCTTATTCGTGCTTTTGAAACTTTTTAAAAGTAACTATTTGGGGGATACGCTGGTGAAACAACCGTGATTTGAACTGGTACCACTAGCTACTAGTTCTTGGTTAATTGGTTCCAAAATTTAAGCCCAAACTGAACTGAAGAGCGCTGGCCATATGATTTATATAAGCAAGTTGATTCAACTAAAGTAGTTTTTATCTGAAGTTGATCTTAGTTGCCTCATAAGTGAATACATATAAATGCCACTTAATGTGACATTTTCCTTTCCAATTTATGATAAAAGACAACAAATAGTGTAAAGGTTGATGGTTGTTCTATTAGTGTGGTTAACCCAGTGGGTTTCATCCATCTCTGTAAAAAAGTGCTGTTTGATTGTCATCTTAACCTACATACATGTTGTGCTCCAAGGAATAATGAATTGTGCACTCCATGTTGTGCTTGAAATTCAAATTTTTTACTTGAAATCTGTTTCCATCGAGTCATTTGCTACTTACTATAAATGACGTGAAAAGGCTCATTTTTATTTTCATTTACTCGTGAGTATTAGCCAGACACATTTATTTGCCTTGATAAATTTGTTATGTCTTTATCTCTTCCCACCAAACTCCTATTTGTGGCGCTCATATGACCTTATGCAGTTGCGAACTCCATAAAACCTCTACTAAAACAAAACAAACTCCTATTTTTGGGGACAATTGTGTGGAAAACTAGTGTTCCTTGTCATAGAGTGGTTGTGTAACTTGTTTGTTTTTTATAATTATATTTAGAGTATAGTGTACTCGTTGCATCATGTAAACATTCAATACAAGTTTTCTTTTTTTTTTTCCTTCAGGAACCGCATGCTGCATGTGCACTTTCAACGGTATGGTGTGGACTGTTCAAAATGGTTGCTGAAGGTAAGAAATTTTGGATTTGAATGAACTAATTCTGTTGGTGTTTATTTTAATGCGATGATTTTGTCAGTGAAAAGAACAGTTTCTGTCATTTTACCCTGCTGATTCTTATGGGGGTCTATGGAAGATATGCTGTAATGACCTAGAGGGTCAGCCTAGTTGTTTGGTAGTGATGCTGAGAAGAAGGTTCACCTAAACGATGACTGCGCTCTACATTGTATGTTATTTTTAAATAAGGTGAGTTAAAATTTAGAAAAGTGTCTATAAATACACGCTGGAAAAATTCCATTGTCGTCAATGTCATAGGTCAAAAGTTGAAAACAAAGATAAACCTCAAATCTGCTTCCCGTCAGATGAATGGTTGAACAAGAAGTTGATTTCAAATGTGGTCAATTCAAGTTGAGAAAAATTTCTTTAAATCCTCGATGGTAAATTTTATTGTCTTGAATGTCATAGGTCAAAGTTGAAAATGCAGATAAATCACCAATGTGCTTCCCATCTGATGAAAAACTAACATATATGAATGTCTAGAGTGTTTATCACTTTATGACCCATTTGTGCTGATGTACTATCCTATTTTTCTGTGCCATAAACGTAATGGATGTGCCTACACCTGTAAAAATCTTGTACAGTCTGATCAAAATGAAATGTGTGAATTGGTAATGTGTTGAATTGTTGTAATTCAGTTGTTTTGCCTGCTTTCTACAAAAGTTGTTGCCCTTGTCACAGGGTGGAGATGTCTTTAAAAACGTGTCTATCATCCTCACTTCTGCAGGTCATGTGTGGGGGTGTGGAGATTCGAACCATCTACGCTGGTCATCGCCAAGCCAAAGCCTGCATCATATCACGGCTCAGCTGCGAGCGGGCAGGCACTCGCTTCAACGTCAGAGGGGTCAATGACGATGGCAGTGTGGCAAACTTTGTCGAGACAGAGCAGGTGAGTCAAGTAATGGAGCGAATTATTGTCTGCTCTATCAGAATGGTCTTTGGGTGATTACTACTATGCATTATTGTATAAAACACCTGTGTCTGTGGTTTAATGGTAAGGCTTTGGTCATAGCGTTTAGAAAATGTGAGTCAGCTGGAATGCTGTAACACTAGGAGTCCAGTTTTTCCAGGACAAATAGGGTCCTAGATAATATTCCTAGTTGTATTGATTTGGGGCATAGAACATATTCATTCATAGCATGGTATATTTGTATACTTGTAGTTTATTAGATCATATGACTTCGATTCAGAATTGCACTGATGAAAATCATAGAACCAGGACGAAATGGGTTATTTTTGTTTGTTTTGTCTATATTTTGTTTTTGTTGAGGGAGAAAGGGGGGGGGGGGGGCTGATTCTGAAAACAAGTATCGCCCTTGAGCAGTGCATCAAGAAAATTAATTTGAATAGTTATAATCTCATATGATGTTGTACATAAAAATAATGGGATCTTTTCTGTTACTTAAAATTTGTTTTGTACAAAACAAATTTAATTTATTCTTCAATGAAGAAAAAAAGTAGTATGTGGAGTAAGTAGAACTTATTAGGTATTGTTATCACTTTCAACTGGGTAATTCGAGGAGAAAATGGGTGGTTGTTGTGGTCTCTTGTGTGGTTTACTCCTTCTTTCCTATCAAACATTTATTGTCCTTATCTCTCCTTCTTCTTTTTATTAGATATTGCTCTCTAATAACACCTTTAATCTGCGCCACTTGTATGACCTAATTGTGTTGCAAGTACCATAAAACTCTTACAGAAACTAAAACTGAACAATTTGTTTTAAACGTTGCTTCTTGATATCCACAGGTCATCTTTTTGGAAAATCAAATTGCTTCATTTGTCCAGACAAGAGGATCAGTTCCTCTGTTTTGGGAGCAGCCAGGAATCCAGGTTTGCGAGCCAAGACTTACCTTTCATTTGCCATAATTCAACATTGCAGTGTGTCAAAATCTGAAAACAATGAAAATCCAGTATGTTGTAGAGTTTGATAAGGTGCATCGATTGATCCTGGTCTCATTCCTTGTCTTGAAATAGTAACAGATTTAGATGAACTAAACATTTTGTATTAAGATAATGTCCTTATTGCTTGTCCTGAAAACCTTGCATTTTGACATACAGTAATGATCGATGATGGAGACCCTTTCGTCTCCTGAGTACAGCAATCCTGTAATCCACGCTATATCAAAAAACACTCTTTTTTGCTTTTTACTACTAAATTAACGTTGCGGATTTTTGGTCAAATTTTTAAACCTGTAGCTCAATAAGCATCGCCAGTGCAACATTCCGACTTTAATTTTTAACATTGTTAGATGAATTGACACAATTTTTTCCCTCTGTAAAATTTTTTTTGGGTGGGATACCGGGTTGTTGTACTCGGGCGACGATTTGTGCCAAATAAGACAGTGTTGCCTTTCTTTTTTAAGCAAAAGTGGCATTGGTAGTCTAATGGTTTTTCTGGAAGACTTGCAATACAGTAGTCTCCGCCTAACAGCTCGGTGCTCTGGAGGGCTCCTTAGCGTGTGTTTACACAGACATGCGTTCTGGCGCTCATATGACCTTATGCAGTTACGAGCACCGTATAACCTACTAAAACAAGAGCATGCATTTACATGAACTTTTGCAAAGTTTGGAAGGGACGCAGTCATCTCATTGCCTTGATATTCTTGTGTCTTTCCTTTGGAGTGGGGGTCATTTTGACCGATAATGTGACGACACATGACTGTTTTGGTTAAGGATCACAGGTAGGAATGAGTCCCAGACTAAAGACAGTGAAAGAAGCCTGAATGTTTGTGATTGACCTCCCTGTAAAATGGCAGGTTGTACTATGTGCTTCCCGGGAAGCAGAGAATATTCCAGATTGTTATATGGTCTGTGGAAATAATAATAAATAGTAAAACATACAGAACTTCCTTTCTGGTAGAGCTGGGCAGGTATTGGTATCTTATACTGGTACCAGGCCTTGGGTCACAGATGTATGAAAGTGCTGGCACCAAGCCTTCAGTACAGTAGGTGATGTGCCTTTGAAACTTAATTGGGCGGGCACGTGACACATACAAATACACGCACACACACACACACACATTCACACACACATGCACACACACGTATGTGCGCGTGTTTTACAAGCACTGAACCACTCTTGTGTGAACTATCCTTTCAAAGAATGCATTATGATAGGGAAGACAGAGTACAAAGGCTTTTTTGTCAAAAAAGAAGTAGTGCAGATGGATCTTCCTTGGGGAGTTTTCTGAGTAATCCATTTTGGATTGGTTAATTGGCTTGGTTTTCATTTTGCCTGAGTAGAGACCCTCATGGCAACCACTTCGCCTTTCAACTCTTCTTCTTCTTCTTCTATCCCGTGGTTGGGGCAACCGTGGGGGCACCACTGCATCTGAAAACCAGCTCTCGCCATCTATTTTTGTTCTTTGCTTTCCTCAGATTGTCTCCCAACTCTACAAAGGCCATATGTTTACTGTGCTTTTGTAATTCTCAATTTTGATGCTTTTTACTAAATGTAGATCCTTTTTCGTTGGAAAATCAAAATATCACTTTATCAGTGCCATTCCACACATGCCCTAATAATTTTTTTAAAGATTTTAGAAAATTACAGAAAAAGAGAGCACCCAAGTAAGAAATGTGACTTGGGTTCTCACTATTTATCGATTTAAAAGGAGGAAGGAAATAAGGAAACTAAACTTTAAGATGCCCCTTGATGTCTTTACTCGAATGACAGCTTTATCTGGAAACCCCCAAGAAACTGACTCGGGCGATTGTGGAATGACTCTGACAACTTGCCAGTGCTTTTGTGATGATGAACGTTTTGTGATTTTGGTCTTTCAGCCCTGACTGGGTATTTTAAGATTCCCTTTACAGTAGTCACAGTAAAAGTAAACTTAGCCCCCCCCCCCCCCCCCCCCCTCCCATTCAGAACTGACAAGCTAGCACATGTACACTGATAGGGGTCATTATGGGGAACCAGTGGGGTTTGTTCTAGGAAACAGCTGTGAGTGGTTGGAGGGCGCCACTTCTTCTTCTTCCTCGTTCTCGATGGAGGGCGCCTCTGATAGATGCTACTTACTTATTTTCGCTCTGTTGTTTCTGTCTGTCAATCCTCCTTACTTTTTCCCCAGCACTAAATGACCATTACTGTGTCGATGTGCTTCTCTTTACTACTCAGACTCTAGGAAACAGCTGGATGTGATATTCAATGTGCATGAAGACATGGGGGGATTATACCTTTCTATTACCGTAATCTTTTTCCACAGGTGGGCTCCCACAAAGTGCACATGTCCCGGGGTTATGAGATGGCAGCGCCTGCGTTTGACCGCCACCTTCGGACAGTCCGGCAGCAGTATGGGGAACAAGTCATTGTCAACTTGCTGGGCTCCAAAGAAGGAGAGAAGATGCTGAGCCAAGCGTTTTATGTAATTACCACTTTTTTAAAAGAACTTTTTGTTTGTTTTTAGTGATAGTTGGTTGTTAGTGGGCTTTGTGACGTGTGAATTTTTGTGTTTATCTGTGATGGTAGTTGGTAATTTGATGTGTGAACTTTTGTCTCTCTCTCTCTGATGAAAGAGAGAGCAATTTATGGGTGGTTGGCGGGTGCTTTGGTGTGGTTTGCTTCTTCTTTCCTGTCAAACAGCTGTTGTCCTTATCTCTCCTCCTTCTTTTTTGTTTTTTACTCTCTTGTAACACCTCTTAATCTTCGGCACTTATATGACCTTATTGTGTTGCAAGTGCTGTAAAATACTTACTAAAACTAAAGAGAGCAATTTGATGTGTAAACTTTTCTATCTGTTTGTGATGATAGTTGGTAATTTGATGTGTGAACTTTTGTGTATGTCTGTGATGGTAGTTCGTTGTTGTTGTTTTCAAATCCCTTTAGCTGCGACATTTCGCTCTAAATGGTAGTTGGTAATTTGATGTGTGAACTTTAGCGTATGTCTGTGACAATCACAAGGAGTTAGTGGGCACTTTGAATGTGTCTGCTGCATGCAGTCCCTGGCTTTGACAAGAATAGGGCTGACCCGGGGCCAGTGTGTCATAAGAGGCGCTCTGATGTGTCTGCCTGAGATGATAATGGGTGGTTAGTGGGCACTCAATTGTGGATTCTTTGTTGTTGTCAGTGGATACTCTGATGTGGGTACTTTGTGTCCGTCGTCGATGATTGAGGGTGGTTAGTGGGTGCCCTGATATGGAAGTTTTGTGTTTGTGTCTCTTTTGATAGTGGTGGATTGTGGTAGATTGTGAGTTCTTTGATGTGGGAACTTTGTGTCTATTATTTTTTTAAAAATGAAACTGGATGGTTCAACGGTAGTCTGATGCCTGTACTTTTGTTCTTTTATTGTCCTTGTCTGCTGCTTGGCAAATGTAACTCCTACCGCACCTTCTTCTGCAGTCCGTCATATCATTTACCCTGTGGGCTGCTTTTAGAGGGCACCTTCTTGGTCTAACATAGGTTGTTTCTGTGAGTTTATTTCTGCGTATCTCTCGCCTTTTTCAGTATACTAAATCACCTTAAACACCTCAATGTGCTTTACTGTCACTCATTAAATAAGGGAAAAAAAATTTCAAATTAGAAGTTGCCATTAATTTGTTTGTTACAATTTTTAATTTTCACCAATTTTTTGTTGTTGCAAAATTGTAAAAGAACTGTTGTAATTTTAGAATATATAATCTTTTTTTTTTCTTTTCTCAGAACCATCATGCCGCATCCTCTCACAAGCAAGATGTTCCATATTACCACTTTGACTACCACGCGGAAGTGAAGGGTACAAACTTGAAAAACCTGGAGAAGCTCAAGACCAGAATCCTGAAGCACATGCACCAGTTTGACTTCTTCTACACGGAAGGTGACACTGTTAGCCACCAGCAGACAGGAACCATCCGCACCAACTGCCTGGACTGTCTGGACAGGACAAACGCTACGCAAATGATGATTGGTCTGGAGGTGGGAAATGTTTTTCTGCCCTCTTTTTTTTTCCTTTCCTCTCTTTGAATTAAAAATAATCTTTTGTGCTCATGTGTGAAAGAAAATACTTTGTCATGCACTTGCACACGATTGCACGCATGAACACACACACACACACACACCCATGTACACACGCAAACAAACACACACACACACACACACACACACACACACACACACACACACACACACACACACACACACACACACACACACACACCCACAAGCATAATCAAACATACATGCATATGCGCAAGTGAACATTTGTTTGTGGATCATGAGAAAACATTTGACAGAAATTACGAAGAGTACTGTAAGAACCCATCAATAGGCAATTGCTGGACAACATCAGATCAGTATAATATCTTCTAGCAGCATGAGCACAGTGCACACTCAGAAGGGCCTTACCACTTGGTATTAAGTCACATTAGGAGTCAGACAGGATTGCTCAGTGTCCTGTCTACATTCCTGTTTATATGGATAAAATAACAAGGGAATCAACTCCTGACTCAGTTAAGTTGAACGAACTGCTATTTGGCAACAATCAAAACATTATGCATGGCAACACACATCAGCTCGAAGAACCTGTAAACAATCCAGATGAAGTTTGTGAAAAATATTACTTAAAGGTCAGCACAACAAGACAGGTTTTCAAAATCATAAGAACACCAATCAACCTCAGTGTCACTATCAGTGATAAACAACTCGTGCAAGTCGTTAAATTCCAGTATCTCAGGAGCATTTTTACTAATGACAGAAAATGCGAAGAAGAGATTGAGACGATACTTCAAAAAGAAAGCAATGCCACCTACCAGAAAGCACCACTTCTAACTCGTCCGCACACACCAACTGAAGCTAAGACGAAGCTAGTCAGCACTATCTTTGAGCCAACTCTTGCATATCAGTGCCGGACTTGGACCCTTACCAGACCTCAGGAAAGCAAAATCATAGCATGCAAAATGAGATTCCTCAAGAAGGTTGTAAGCTAGAAAAGAAGAGACAGGATCCATTTTGTGAGTATAATCCAGTCCAACAGCATATTGAAAAGCAAAGAATCAGATGGTTTGGACCTCAAACTCAAATGCCTATCAACAAACTTACTCTCAAAGGATACAACACAGTAATACCTGGATACCGAGTGAAAGGGAGACCCAGGAGGAAAAGATTGGATTAAGGGAGTATAGGACACCTTAAAAGCTCTCAATTTCTAGCTCCAGGAGGCATTAAGTAATGTAAATCACAGTCAACTGATTTTTTAATAATTATAACTCTGTGAGTGAACTTTAAAAAATATTTTTTGAAAATTTTCAGATGCTAAACAAGCAGCTTCAAGCCTTGGGACTAGCTGCCAAACCCCAGATGGTTGGACGGTTTGAGGAGGTGTACAAACAGATCTGGGTGCACAACGGGGACCACATGAGTCGCATCTATACTGGGACCGGAGCATTGGGCGGCGGAAGGTCAAAGGTGAGTGTGATTGGTGGGTTGTTAAGGTCAGGATTTAATTGTTTGAGAGACTTCAATAGTGTGAAAGTTAAAGTGTTTATTTATGGCTTGTTCTCTTCCATCTGTCTGCGTTTATAACAGGATAAATTCAGATTGCTGTGCCGTTTACTCTTCTCTGATCTTTGCATGTGGATCTAAAAATTGGATGACCAATAGAATCTAAAAGCCCGTTACTGAAGGCCATTACAAAATAAGGTTCTTACATATTTTTTTGTATGCTAGTGTAAAGTAGTTAAAAAAATTATTGGTGATTTACAACATACACCTAAAATATAACATTAAAAATTTGACCTATTTTCATCAACACCACATTTAAATTTAATGGTTTGCCTTGGCTTTGTTGTGTCAGAGTTAAATGCAGAGATTGTGCCCCTTAAATAACCCCTTAGATTTGAAATGGACATTGTAAGCCCATACAATGCCCCAATGTACCGAATATGATCAGGATATTTATCTTTATTTTTCTCCACCCCCCTACTCCCGCTCCCCCTCCCCTTCCCCCTCCCCTAGTATTCTGATGCCTCTCGGTCGGCCAGCAGAACTATTCAGAACAACTTCCTGGATGGGAGCAAACAGGAAGCCATAGATGTTCTGCTCATGGGAAGTTCGTTGTATGGAGCTCTAGCTGATCGAGCGAGGGCTCTGCTGTCTTCCAGATATCTGCACGGTAGGAACATTCTCAACTATGTGTGTGTGTGTGGATATCTGCTCATTAGGACCATTTACAACTATATTTGTGCCTCCTTCATTCTTATCATACATCTATTGCCCTTATCTCTCCTGCTTTTTTTGTGTCTGTTACTCTTTTGCAACACCTCAAGCTTTGGCACTTGTATTACTTAATTGTGTTGCCAGTGCTGTGAAAATGCTTACTAAGTCAAGACAAAGTATGTGTTTATATCTGCACAGTTGTAACATTCACTGATATGTGTATGTGTTTATATCTGCACAGTATGGGACTCTCATAGTCTTGAGGTATGGTGTTGGCCACTCATTCAGTATATATCAGCCCAGTTGTAACATTCACAACTATTTGTATGTGTTTATATCTGCATAGTTGAAACTTTCACTGATAAATGTGAGGTAACGTGGTGAAATCAGATGCTCGTCAAAATAATAATGAAATTGAAGAAACTGGTATTGTTGGGAATTTTTATTGAATTTTATTTTTGGGCTCAATACCTTTCTTGCCCTTTACTGAACAAATTTCTGGGTGGATTTTTCTGAAAAAGGTTGATTAAAGGCACAAAAAATGTATGTTTTCAGTTTCCATGGACTATTAAGCTACGGAAATAACCAAACTTTAACAGCCATTTTCCTTCTAATTCTACCTTTGAAACCAGGCGACCCTTCAATCTCAAATACCTTGGCTTCTCTTCAAGATAGATGGGTTGAAAAAAGTAATAGCAAGACAACTGAACAAGCTTCAAGATTATGCCAATAACTCTGCATGCCCAAAAATTGACGAGCGCCTGATTCCACCACGTCTTGACACAAATGTATTTGTTAATATCTGCACTGTTGGAACATTCACAAGTGTGTGTGAATAAATATCTGCACTGTAGGATTGTTCACAACTACTGTGTATGAGTTAATATCTGCACAGTTGGAACGTTTACAACTACATGTGCATACATGTCTGCAGGGTAGGAACATTTCTAGGCCAGTCATTCCAGGAATGTCCAGTCCTTCTTACCTGTACGCCCTTACCACGCCTTGCAGTTCCCCAATGGGTACTAAGTTAAAGCTTGCCTTGTCTCTTTGATTTTGCATTTTAAAATTTTATCTTCTTTTTTCGACAGCATCTGAAAGTATCCTGTGGCCGATGACCCGGCGTTATGCAGAGTACACCCATCCTCAGAAGTACCGCATCTGTGTGGGAACGTACAATGTGAATGGAGGCAAGCATTACCGCAGCATTGCCTACAAGCATCAGTCACTGGCTGATTGGCTTCTTGATGCTCACAAAACTCATCCAAGTAAGGAATACAACACTTTTGGTGTCGTTAGCCCTTTCCTTTCAACTCTAATATATTATACCTTCGATATTCTGCGTTAGACCTGGTCTATTATTGATATCTTATTATCGACCCTGCAAAACACATGATGTTTCTTTGTGTGTAGACCTATTCTGTGTACTTTTTACCCCGACACATTTTTATTGTACGTCATTCTTTTGTGTTCATTTTGACATATGACATATTTACTTAATTTGATAGAATAAATGTAACTGGCCTCTCCAAGTCCCTTCTTTAACCAGTTGCATTTATAAGACACTGATCTTGCTTGCACAACCATGGAACTCCCTCTTGCTTGGAAAAATTTTTTCAGAGTATTTTACTGTGGTGGTTCAGTTTAATGTGTGGGCATCTGTGTATTTAAGTGTATGTTAGAGATTTAAAAAAACTTATCTCATCTTATCTTATGGACTTTTCGACACCCTTTGGGATGTGCCTGTTGCTTGCTATAGTGGCTCTGTTCACCAACCAGTCGTTCTTGAACTTATTTTTTGTATGGATTGTTCATGGCGGCTTCTCCACTCCCTTGGAACAGTCTTGTCTATCTTGGAGACAGATGTCAAATGAGACATCCAGCTTTTCAATTTCCCATACCACGTTTAAAAGGAATGTTAACTGTACTGTCCTCCCAACTAATGAGATGCAGTCAGATACACTTCCTTTCAATGTGTTTGGCTTACGTGACTGCACTGTTTTGCTGAGATGGTGTACAAAAGACTTGCAATGTGACCTTTATTAACTCATTTGTGACTATAGTTACCGCACAGTGAGATTATTAGTGCTTGGAGTCATCACGGTAAATCAGATGAATCAACAATCGCTCCACAAACTCAGCCAAAACCACCTTCAAAACTGCCAAGTCAAAAGACAAATGTGTGTGTGCCTGGAGAAAGGTCCCTGTTGTTGGAAACTTAACTTTGGATAGGCCTATTGAAATAGGGCATAATTCCTTTAGCAAAATCAGGGCTGAGCATGCTGTTGTACTTGTAGCAGAACATTTGTGTGTGTGTGGGGGGGGATCGTATTGAATTCTATAGAAAGTTGTTAACTCTTTCATTCTTTGGGTTGATTTTTCCTGTTTTTTGTAATTTTAGATGTACTGGTAGATGATGTTGACTACGACAAACCCGTAGACATCTTTGCTGTGGGATTTGAAGAAATCGTGGACCTCAACGCCAGTAACATTATGAGTGCAAGGTGAGTACTGTAGAGGGAGGGAGAGGTCTTTTAGCAAACGGCCGAGAAACATTGACAATTGTTTACAAGGAATCAGGCAGTTTGAGGGCACCACTGGTATAGGCTGTCCATTTAGAATATAACATTGTTCATGGGGGCTTCTCCACTCCCTTGGATCAGTCTTGTCCGTCTTGGAGATAGATGTCAAATGAGACATCCAGCTTTTATAAAGCCACTTCATAGCACAGTAAAATACGTTCACTACATATTTATTTTCGGCTTGTGGACGAATTTTTTTCGGGAGGGCGAAATGAGATGGTGACTCGTGCGCAGTTCACAGGTTTTTGGTGCCTCAAATTCAAATAAATATCAACATATTATATACCAAAATGTTCAGTATCGTTTGTACTTTACATCTGTAATGTTTTTTGTGTATTTTTCATCTTTGGTTCCTGTATGAGGTGATTATGCAACACAGTTTTGCTTGGATGCGGATAAAATTTGAAAATAAAAAAATGTATAATCTTTGGTGAAACTCAAAAAATGTTTGCACCTAGTCAAATGATGTATCAAAATAACCAGAAATGAATATAGGACTGGAAAATATTGAAAAATTTGCAGTTATTTACATACATTCCATAAAATTTGTACATTTGGATCATAACATCCAATATTGAAAGAAAAAAATAAAATTTTTAATCTTGAAAAAAGAACAAGATGCATTCACAAACAGAAAAAAACACTCGTATCTTATATGGAATTATTCAGAATTGCTTTTGGAATAAACCTACACATGTCTTGAGTGGTATGTTTTTTTGGTAATTTTCCCCCCAAAAGTAGTGATTTTGAGGAGAAAAAAATATTTTGATCTAGCTCTAGCACTGAAAAATATTGATTTCTCAATAACAGAGCACTGGCAATTTGAGTCCAATAGTATCAATATTCTTAAGAAGTGTCCTATATTTTCTTTAGTGATCGAAATAATGATACATCTTGTTGCGTAAAAGTACTAAGACTGGTGTCTGGGCTATAATTTGGGCATCGTGATAAAACAAAGTCGCATAAACTTCGAAATCGCGTTTCAAAACTGAATCTAAACTTCCCATTTTCGGTGGAGACGCTTGACCCGAAAGTCAATGTTATATTATAACCTTTATTTTAACATGGATATGTGGATTGGAATAAAATCTAAGGTAGAATTATAGGTCGGTTCTAGAGCCGTCGGGGGCGGCTTGCTGTAGCGCAGTCACTATCACCTACGGCTCGGCGTAGCGAATGAGTTAAGCAATAATTGTTTACTTTGTTTTTGGTTTGACCTTGAGATTATAAAAGTACAAACTATAATAGTCTTCATTTGTGTTTCCAGTTGATATTTCCTTCGAAGTTGCAGGATCGTGTGTAGGAGAACTTCTCCCCAGAAAGAAGAGCCTTTTGTGCCTTATAAGTGGCTTTATAAAATTAGTATACTTACCGCACAGTCGTTCCTATCAACAGTATTTGGTCTGTAAAGTACTCGTGGTTAAGTCTGTCATGATCTGACCCATATCTGTGGCAAAACTCACAACATAAAAGGAGTTTCTTAAATACAAAATGTAATCTTTGGTTGGTCTTTTTCTCATATTTGGCTCACAGCCAACACGGGGGAATTTATACTGTAGATTTCCTCAAATCTAAGAGAAAACATTGCTTATCAGCAGCTGTATGCAATCCATTTTTACTGTGCTATGAAGGCAGACTGAAATATATTTAGTGATAAAATTGGGAATACATCAGTGTATTGTACAGTACTACAGAAAAAGTTATTAGTTTAAAAACTGTTTCATTTCTTACTTTACTCAAAAACTAAGAAAGGATGGTCACAGTTGACTTTGTGCTTTTGCAAAAAAAAATTTTTTTAAATTTAATTCTCTTCCCATAACCCCCCTCATTTCTCTGTGTGTCTCATCATAGTACCACCAATGCCAGGGAGTGGCAGAAAGAAGTGATCAAAACCATCTCCCGCGACCACAAGTATGTCGTCCTCACAAGCATACAGCTTGTGGGCGTGGTCTTGTATGTCTGCGTCCGGCCCAACCTGGCCCCATTTATCAGGTGAGAAGGAGAGTTGTGTTGTCAGCATCGTTTTGCAGTTTTCTCTCCGTCTGTCTGAAGTATTTTCACCTTTTGACTCAGTACAATAGCGAAAACACACTAGAATCCACTTGATCAGAAGGTTGAAATTTCGCCACCAGTACGTCCTACCAATTTTTGTATTTTTAAATTTTGTTTACATGTGTCTGTCTTCCTTTTTCTCTGCATCAAATGGTAGTTATTGTGTCGATGTGCTTCTCTTTACTCTTACTAAAATATAGGTCTTAAAGTGGTCCACCCAAGGAAAGTTTTTTTACAGGAGACAAAACGAATGGTCCGATTCTGTCTAGTTATGTCATGTATGTATACAGTTTGAGAGCTATTTAATCCATTGTCTTCGACTTATTCTGTAAACAAACCACAACTCTTGGTGAAGAACCTGAGGAGGGGACTTGGGCTGGGCCAGTTTGTATTTAATGCCATTAGCTTTTCTACCTGTCTTTTGTGTGTCTCGGAGATGGTGCTGTGGACATGCTGTATTTTTTTGGCAAACTTTTATTAATTCAAACAGACAAATAGAGAGAGAGCAATAGAGAGAAGTATAAGGTTCTGATACCGCCTGTCTCATCTTCATTGTCTCAGAGATGTTGCTGTTGACAAAGTGAAGACTGGTCTGGGTGGAGCCACTGGCAACAAGGGAGGCGTGGGCATACGTTTCCTACTCAACAGTACGTCCATCTGCTTTGTGTGCGCTCACCTGGCAGCTGGTCAGAACCAGGTGACTGACCGCAACAACGACTACAACGAGATCACTCGCAAGATGGCCTTTCCTATGGTAAGCGATGTTGCGGCTTTGTTGATACTGTTTTTTGCAGTGTGTTATGTCTTAGTGTCGTATTGGTTAACTTTAGCTTTCTGTCATGAGCTGCTGCTTTACTGATGTTAATAAAGTATGGGTCCTGTGACTTGGAAATCACATTTGGAGGGGGCTGTGGGAGGTAGTCTGTCAGTTTCACAGTTGTGTTTTATGTGTTCACCAGTATAGTGGGTTTTGGGTGGGAGGTCTTGCTTTTTTTCTCCCGTATTCAATGGCGGTGATTGTGTTGAAATGATTTTATCTACTCAAACCAGAGGTAGTTAACTAAGCTGGTGACTTGCTGGGCTCTGATACATATCACTCATATCACTTGATGTTTGTAGGGAGGCATTCCTGAACTAGATTAGTTTGAGCAGTTTTCATGACTTTAAACTCTCTTGCCTCACACCTCTTAGATCTGAATGCTCAATCAGATGTTCCGTCTCTTAATTTGTTTATATCTGTTTTGAAAGGGAAGCAAGAAACCAAATCACAAGAGAATCTGAGACTGAGATAAAGTTTTCCTCTCTCTGCGGCATGGCAGAAGCCAGAAACTATTAATTTAATAGCAATAGAGAATAATACTTGTAGATAATAATTTTGTAGATGTGTGCTTTTTTCAGATTTGAAATACTACTCTCGACTGAATTGACTAAAGCACTTTTTTCGTACTTACCCCTCTCTTTGCACAAATTTTTCTGCTGTATTCATAAGATAATTTTGAAAGAAAAAACACCAGTGAGTGATGTTGTTGTTTGTGGTCTTAATAGAATTTTTAGAAATTAGTAACGGTTAAATAGGGGATTTGTTGTTTCATCCATCCATAAAACGGAAAAGGGATAGTGCAATAATATAGTAATATAAAGATTTGAGAAGTTACTCGAGTATTACTTATAATGCTTTTTTTGGATATTGTTTTTTCCCACAATATTTAACAATTGATTTTTCATAGGACTGTTATAACATAGAAAATTTAGAATTTCAGCAAACAAATGTGAAATTGACAAAATGCACTTTGACTTAATCGTTTGTATACTACAAGTCTGGTACTGCTTGATAATGTGCCTGCATTTATTACTCCCAAGCACCCTGAGATACTGTTACAGTGATTGCTGCAAGCTAGAGGCAAAGCACTCCTGATATCGTTCATAACTTTTCAATGCCTTATTTTTTCCACCTATAAGACTGGCTAGACAATAGGACTAGTCCCATACTGCTTGTTCCATACCACCGTTCGTCACTGTCACTAAGAGAAATGAGTAAGTCAGTGTTTTTTAGTGCATCCTGTTGTGCAGGATCAAGCGCAGTTGCTTATTTTTCTCGTGACAGCGATGATTTGTAGAGTTTGTCCTTTGCTTTGGCTGCAGAAAATGCCCACATTTTCATACAGTGATCATTGTGAGTGTAAAGAAAGCTCATCAATTGTTTTCAGTCTTCTAATACACAGCGTTTGTTAGCAAACCAAGAGCCAAATTACAAGTTTATTTGGGCTAGTGGTTAAGAATCAACATAAAGAAGGGTTGGTAAGAATGCTGATTTGGTCCAAAGTTTTTCTCATCTGGATTTTTATAGTGGCTGGCTGTAGGTCGTTTTAGTTCTAACCTACAGGGCAACTGAATTCAGTTTCACCCCCCCCCCACCCCCCCAAATTTCACCAAACCCCTTTCAGGACGCCCATTAGAATCTTCAAAGGGTACTCTGGATTGTTCCTACTCTCGTACTCATTGGAGATTCTTCTGGTTAGTGTTGGGATGCTGCTTAGAGTTAAGCCAGATCCTGTTACATAACTGGCAAAAATGCTCTTCCTCAACTTTTAACTTCCAATAGATTTTTAGTGTGTATATAGTGCTGACAAACTGTAAAAGACCCTCATGTTTTGTCCTTGTCCAAGATAAAAAAGAGGCTGAATCTCTCCTTTCGCTTGTCCCTTAAATTTTCATTTCCTTTGAAAACCGAAAATTATATTTTAAGTACAAAATAGTTTTAAACGTTTCAGTGTGGTGGTGGAATCCCATATTGCTTTTCTCTCATCCTGATATTCACCTCTGTCCCCACAGGAAGTCTGCCGTGTGGGTATTGTGTATGTGCATGGCCTGTCCGTGTCTTCAAAGTGTTCCAAAAAAAAGTCTTGCTTCTAAGGAGAATATTATAATAGTAGGCAAATAACTCACTCATCCATTCAGTCCTAAAATTCTCATACTTTTGTTTTCGGAAGATAAATATTTATCTTTGATTAACCTTGCTTGACGAGCTAAATAAAATGGTTCGGGGTTGCTCCTTTTTGTTGCAACAGCAACGGCTAGAAATTTGTGTCTTAACAAATAATTTTTTGCAAGAAAGATTCTCCTGTGATGTGGGACTTTTGGGACACATTCTCTATCTGGATGTTGTTGTAGACTGAGGCTATTTTTTTTCCTCAGTTGTAGACCAGTCTTGGTGATAGAATTGTTATAACAGGATACCCGGTGTCTATCTTGATATTGCACATGCATCCTCATGAATGACAGTGTCCATCTAGCACTTTCGCGCAATGCATTGACACAGTGTGGGTCTGGCATGTTTTCTGCTCCTGCATTGTGATGCATTGAGGCTGTGCACTGTTCCTCTTCATGCCTCGGTCATTAACTGATTCCGTCCATGATTTTTCCAGGCTCTGGACAGAATTATTTTTCCCTGTTCAGTTTTAGACCTGGGGTGCATCTATTTAATGCATTACTGTGAAGCTCTATGTTACTCTAATATGTATTGTCATATACCAAACTGATGGGAATAAATAGAAGAATCTGTTTATATCAATAACAATGACCTATAATCTGTTTGTATTACTTTTTCCTTCTGACAAAAACAGCTCTTCGAAAATTTCGACTTACTGCATTTTCTCAGCTCTACAAGTCCTTATAATCCATAGGAATCAACACAACATTCTAGCGATATCATCCTAGCACACATTTATGCAAGAATTTCACAAATTTAGTTGAATATCTTTCTTTGAAGAGCCTTTTTATTATACCAGGCTCCGTGTTGTTTACCCTTAGATCTAGCCTACATCGCAACAACAAAACAACGATTTTTGCAAGAATTTCGCGGAGTTTCGATCGATATTGGTGCTCAGAGATTGAGGTCAGGTTTGTTTACAAGTTCTACTTCCTTTTGACAACTTAAAAAGTAGGAACTATGTTAAAAAGTGCCCCTTTGTTTCGGATTTCGTTGAGCCGCTCACAGCGGTCGAATGGAGGCAGCGGAAAAACTCAGAGCCGCTGTCAGTGGCCGAATGGACGGAATCAGTTAAGGGTCATCTTTGTAGCCCTGGGTGTGGGCTAGAAAAGTTTTTTCTGTGCTAAGAAATTGAAGAATTGCGTGCTGCTAGGGATGTGGGGATAAAGATATAGTGGCGCAGCCTTTTCATTATAATCCTGTATTGCTCATACTATATATATATATATATATGCAATTGAACCTGTCCATAACAGTCACTCAAGATCACAGAAAAAAGTGCAGTGCTCAGTTCATTGGACACTCACGTATCATTGGGTAAGAGCTGCATTGAGACCTACCCCTCTTGTTTAGGTAGTTCCTAGCCTAGGGTTAAGTCCACCTGCTTTGTTGCATCGATTGAACATACATAATATTCAATCTGGTAGTGGGTTGGTGGAAAACTTTTGTAGCAAGTGACCATTATGAGCAGGTATTGAGGCCATCTAGTTGCAAAAATGACGGACCCTAGTCGTGTAAGAGAGGGACAGATATGGACAAGTAAAAAATGTAGGAAAAGTGCTAGAGTGTCACAGAACTGTAGGCGTTTAAACAGGTGATGGCTATGGAGAAGTGACCGCAAAGGCAGGTTTGACTGTGTGTGTGTATATATATATATATTTATTATATGTGTTTCATGTTATTGACACTGCATATCTATGTTTTAGCCTTTGTCCTGTCTATACACACCATTGCCAATATTTTGTTTTTCATTTTTTGGGGTATAATATACCTATTCACTGTTGAGGAGTTGTGACTCTTTTGCTAAAGGAAAAAAAAAGAAATGTGTTTAATAGCCTTTATGTGGGTTATTATTTCAAGAAAATTTCTTTGAAGAGCTTTATAAGTAATTATTCTCAAGTTTGTTTTGTTTTGTTTTTTTGTTTTTTTTGCTCACTTGTTGTATACATTTTTTGAGTTCTGTGTTTTGTGTGAGACATTTTACTGTTCTACAGGGATGTTGTATCACTTGGATGAACTGATTAGTTGACACAGGAAATGGACAAGGAAAAGAACCTCTCTCTCTCGTCCTTCCTCTCTCTTTGTCTGTCTTTCTCTCTTCCTCTCTCTCTCTCTCTCTCTCTCTCTCTCTCTCTCTCTCTCTCTCTCTCTCTTCTTTATCTGTTTCTCCATCATTCCATTTCATACATCTCTCTTGCTCATTTCATTCTCTCACCCTCTGCATCATTTACTTTTACCTCCTCTACTTTTGCCTCCACCTTCTCCCACTTTCTTATGTTAGCATCACCTCACTTTCCTATCATTGTTGTTTAGGAAAAGAAATAAAATATGGATACATGGATATTTTTGGAGAATTTTACAGCATTATGGCTAGCAGTAAGGAACCAATGGTTGTTATAAATGTGACTAATTTAGTAAGGTTAAATAAGCCTTGCTATAGTCCTGGCTGTGTAGATAAGGTTGAACAGGTCAAGCAATGATACAATGTATAAAAAACAACAACAAACAAACTAAACAAAAAAAAACCCTGGTAGGTTAGGTCTTAAATATGTTACAAATTGCTTAGTGGAAAGAAAGCCGAATGGTGAAAAGTCTCACCATGTTATTGTTATATAGAGCAAAATATGTCATTCATATGCGAGTAGTTTATTAGTTTTCAAGTGGTCTGTATCTGCTTATTGCATGTTTTCTGTAGTCTCCGGACTCCCCCAGGAAGGTAAGAGTGCTGTTTCTCCTCACTTTTCCCTAAACACCAAATCAGCCTGTCATCCGCTGGGCAAAAGTAAAGAAATACCCTCTGATTATTCCACCTTTGTTAACCCAATCAGGTTTGTAATGCTAAAAGAAGCTGGGACCATTGTGGATTGTTATAGAGTCTTCCTGAGTTATGATTGATTGTAAAATACATAGGGCCTTATTTCAAATAGGGATGTACACAGTACAAACAATATGCAGTATTTTAGTATTAGTAGTAGCGTCAATAGTGCTGTGGGTGCTGTGGGTCATTTTCTTAGTCTGTCATTGGAAGGGGAATAATTAATATATCCCCATCCCCATTTCTTTGAAGTTGGAGCTGTCTGAGTAGAACAAAATTATGCTGTACTTAAATATAAATTATATGTAAATCTGTTTCTTTCAGTCTTTACTTTATGTGGTAATTTTTAAATTGTGTGTTTTAGCTTTGTGTGAGAATTTGAGCGTATGGTTGGTGGGATGATGCCACTGGTAGGTCCTGCTGCCTTTCTCTGCTTCTTTTGTTTCTGTCTTACTTTTTCCGAGCACTTTGACCAAATGACCGTTATTTTGCTGATGTGCTTCTCTTTTCTCCCACAAATCACTCTGCTCCCTTGAGTCATGAGGTGGCCAGCCCGGTGTCAAATCTATAGGAATTTTCTTTCTTTTTTTATAGTAAAAACATGGACACTGTCTCTTATATGGTGACATTGGCTGGAGTTTGTCTTTAATTTGGGTTAGGTCAGATTCAGTGTTAGTACTTTTTTATAGAAAGATTAAAGGTAGGTACGTTTGAAAATAGGTAGGTGGGTAACTGGGTATGTAAGTAGAACTACGCAGGCTGGTAGGGAGGTGAAGAGGATTGGTTGTTTTTACTTTTGCCCTCCCCCCCCCCCCCCTGCCGATTTCAGTTATCTCATTCTGACTTCTGACATTTGCTAGCACTGCAGAAGTCCACTGGGAATGTCTCATGCACACCATTGTTGCCGATTCAAATAGGCTCAGAGCTCTGTAAATTTCAGATTACAAGTTGAAATGCATGTGTAAGTGAGCTTTAATAAAAGGAGCATCACTCTCTTTGAATTTGCAGTACTTCCTGATAAGTGAAAGAATTTTTAAAATTCTTTGGCAACAAGGACATCTTTGTTTACGTGGTCCATTCCCTTACTTCTGACAGACAAGTCACATTTAGTTCCTGGAAGATCAAGAAAATAATGGAATTGGCCTCAATTCAAGCTTTTGTTGCTTTTTTGAGAATCACTTGTATATCTTATTTTCTAACATTTAATGTCTATTTTCAAAATATCATGAAGTTCTCATGTTATGAAGTCTTGCCTTTGCTTCTGACACCGTTGAAATACAATATATTGACTCTTCCCTTGTCTCCGTACGGTCTACAAAATTAGAAAAAAGTAAGGACAGTTTTAGAATGAAAAGTGGAGTACTTATAGACTTCTATTCAGACAATAAAGTTAAAAAGTGATTAGTGGTCAATTTTTGTATTTAGTAGAGACTTAACTCTTTGAATCTGGATTAAGTTTCTTTTTTTTTTGGTACCACCTTTCAACGAGTCGCTACTTAAGTGGCATTTTGGGGTACCAATTTCATCAACCCCAAGGTCTGCAACATTTACTGCCTCTTTTCCCCCACATTGTGATCCTCTATCTAGTTACAAATATTTGATTAAATTATAGCCACTTAAAGGTAACATCGCCTCGAATTGGGTGCATAAAATTATGGAATCCCTTGCGTACTTAAAAAAGTAAAGCCTCTCAATGCTCTGTTCCCTATTATATTTCTATCATATTGTTCCAAGTTTTTTGCTCATCGTTCAAGTAATACTTCACTCATTTATGTTTTGCATTTGCTTCTACCCTTTTGAGTCCTACAACACTTTCTTAAGCATGCTTTTATGCTTGTTTTTTTCAATAAATGAAAACTTTTACTTTTTTTCTCAAGCTGTTAAGAAATCACTGCAGTTTTGTCTGAAAAGCAGCTCTATCATTATTATGGCATTGTTTCAAATGTCTTTTCAGCTGGAAGGAAATTGTTTTGTTCCAAGCAGATGGTATCTTTTACAAAAAACTGACATATTTCTTTAATGAGGGCTATGTTTGTGTGTTCATTATCCAATTCCTTTCACGTGCAGCAAACCTGTTGTGATCCATTGTCAAGTTTTCCCTCTCCTTTATTCATCCCTAAAGTAATTTAACTTACAGAAGGATCAGCTGCCTACAGTTGCTCAGTTGACTGATGAAGCTGGCCAACATATGGAAGATTTGTTTCTTAATTCAGAATGGGATCTGAATTTTTTTTGGTCCTCTTGGGAATGTTTTTTTCCCATCCCTGATAAACCCACCTTTGAAATAGCCAGAGTGGGTCTAGCAGGACATTGCATGTCTTCATGGAAAAAAAAAAAGAATTTAAGTAAACCACTCGCCTGTTTGACAAGTATGAGAAGGCTCCAGTGGAAATACCAGACAAGCTACAATTTTTTTTCACTGAATTTTTGTCCTTCTTGCTTTCTTTAAAAATTGAACTTTCTTCTCCTCAAATGATCCCATGGATAACCCTTCGGAGTCATGTGCTTTTGTATATGTAAAAGGTTTACTTTATGCACTGTGAGATATGGACTTTTGAACGTTGAATTTCCAATTTTTTTTAAAGTGATTTGTCTGGTTTTTCCACTGGGGTCTTCATGAGGTTAGTAAAACTTTTCAGTGAAATGACAATCAGTAGGTTTAAGTTGAGACAAGGTCAATCTGGCTAGCTCTGTCGTTCCAAAAATATCCTCCTGTGTCTAATCATTGGACTTTATCACTTATGCTCAACATCATAATATGTGTACATAATTTTATCTTAGAAGAAATGAAAGAAATAAGATGAAGACTCTTTAATTATAATATAGTAAAGAAGTACTTAATCAAAAGTTAAGTCTGTTTGTTTTTTTCTGTCTGCTGCTAAATAGACTTTTGCTGAGTTGGCCACTTTGCAAACGATACAGTTTGTAGCAGGATTCGGCTTGCAATGTCTTCCCCTAAGGTACACAGCCCTATTTCTCCCCCCTGCTAGCATGTATTCTAGAACTGCATGTTGCTTTTATTCAAACCACTCAGAGAGCCATCTTTAGACCTGACCTCATATCGTTCATGTGCATTGTGATTATGCTCTCAAGAGCTGAGGATTTGTCTACTTTTATATTTGTTAAAAACATTGCTGTATCGTTTAACAGAATTTTCAATTGTTCTAAAACGATGGAAGGAATGAGACGAAAATCTGCGTCAACATAAGCTTCTTGCCGTTTCAACAATTCAGAAAATTCTCGTTCTTGAACTTTCTAGAAAATGTCCAAGCAAAGACCTATAAGGGTGTTTCTCTATTCTGTCAGCTTTGTATTTCAGAACATAAACTGTATCCTGCTTTTATCGGTATTGCATAGATAGCCATGTTCATACCTGATCTCGTTTAGGGCATATGAGTCGTGTTTGTATTTGTAATGACCGAGACTTTGTCAATGTTGAGGTTTCTCCTGCTCCTACATCTCCAACTGTTAGAAAAATCTTTCATTCTATTAGGAGATAGAAGTAATGAGATGATAGTATTGATAGTCAGAGAGGTCTATTTTCTTTAGTCAACAAATAATTTAACTTTTTTCGAGTTTGCCACCACTGTGTTCTTAAAAAAAATTGGCTGGCAACACACGACTCTGTTTATCTGCCTTGTCAGCTTCTATTCCAGAGTATTAACTGCATGCTGCTTTTATTGGCTCTGCTCCAATAAATTAAAACTGGACCACATATGGTGCATGTGAATTGTGGTTATGTTTTCAATAACTAAGGCTTTGTCAGTGTTGAGGTTATTCATGTTTCTGTATCACTAACAATTGGACGAGTGGGCCTATAGAAGAAGCATGAATGTTCAAACACATGTTTTTTTTTAGAAAAGTTCTCAATGCTTGTTGATTATGCTTCAAGTAAATTGAGTTGGAAAAAAAACAAAAACATTTCTATGTGAATTTTTTGTCAAGTTAGGAACAAATTTATGGTTGCTATAATATGCCTGTGCATTCACTATTGTTGCAACTGCTAGCTTTTAGAAATATATTTAGAGGTCACTAATAATATTTATATCAGTTGTTTTGTGCTGAGGTGTATTGTCAAGATTACATAATATTTATGTCAGTTTTTTCAAAATGCATTGACCATTGATGTTCAAAAACCTGCTGCATTGTACTGATCACTTCTTTAAAGACCAATGTGTTTCTACTTTTGTCCTGAAGAGAGCTGTGTGGTGTAAAGACTTTTTATGTTCATTATAAGTAGTGTGCAGAATGTGAATAAAAGTTTCTTGCACAAAAGCCTTTGAAGAAGAAAAGTGAAGTGAAAAGGGAAAGCTTTATCTTTCTTTTAGAACAATGAGATTACTATCGAAATGTTCTTTTCAAATGTTTTAAGTCACTTTTGTTTTCATATCCCAATTTTCTCAAAGCTGTTATGTCAGTGCCGTTTGCTCCTTCTATTTCTTCTCAGAGTTGCTGTCATTCTTCTCTTTTCCTGATAAAATGTTGCTGTTACGACTCTCTCTACTATGACCCGAATGACCCGTTTAGTTGGGGGTCTTTGTTTTTGTTTTTTAGTTGTTCACAGGGAGGTTATTATGCTGATTTTCTTTCCAACAATATGGATTCATTGTTTCCTCAGGGCCGTAGTGTTTTGTCGCATGACTGCGTTTTTTGGTGTGGAGACTTTAACTACCGCATCGACCTGGCGGGAGATGAAGTGAAGAGCCTCGTGAGCAGCGAGAACTGGGGCGCCCTTCAGGAGATGGATCAGCTCAATGCACAGAGGGCACAGGGGAATGTGAGCAATGATGATACTGTTGCTTTTTTGTGTACCAAGATTTGAAGGGCGTGGGGGGGATCTTTTGTACTAGATCGGAATTTTGTCTTCTATTTATTTATTTTTTTGGTGGGGTTGTTGTTTTGTTGGTGGGTTGTTTGTTTGTTGGGGTTTTTTTGGGGGGTTACATTTTTGTGCATTTGTTTTTTAACCAGATCTGTCATGTACTTTTTTGGCCTTGTTTCACTTTCTTCCTTGGAAGACTAAGTCTTTAGAAGATATATTTTGTTAATTGCTAGCTCTGCAGCTATTCTTTTGATCAAACCATCTATATACCATATTTTGCGAGCTACAAGTAATACAAAGGAGTCAGAAAAACGAGAGAAGAAAACAACATGGAACTCCAAGTTGACAGGTGGACACCATGCCTGTTGAACTGCTAGCCTCCATTGTTTGTGACTGTTTTTTCTCTTCACTAAATAGCTGTTGATGCACTTCTCCTTACTGAAACTGAAGACAAAAAAACACATTTTTTTAATAATGATTTCGGAGAAGAAGTAATTGATGTTTCATTTTTCTTTTTGTACAATTTTTTTAAATCAGGCTTTTAAAGGCTTCAATGAGGGCAAGACAGACTTTGCACCAACTTACAAATACGACACTTTTAGCGATGACTACGACACCAGTGAGAAGTGCAGGACACCTGCCTGGACAGACCGGGTGCTGTGGAGGGTGAAGAGACTCTCAGAGGGTAATGATGACGGTTTTGACAAGGTCCTTACTCACCTGTTGCTGTGAATTAAATACTTATATACATGCTGTAGTTCATTTCTGGGCTGTTAAATAAATTTTGTTGGTATTGGTCTTTAGGGTAGTTTTTTTATGCTGTTTTGTTGGTTTGTTTTTTTTAGAGGGGGGGATGTTCCAAGCTCCTGTTGGTTCTTTTTCTTTGTCAGTGTGCTTCTGTTGTGTTCAGAATACTTGCAACACTCTTCTTCATTACTAATCATATCTTTTTAGCTAATGCACCAAATTTTTCTCACCATTGTGATTAGGTTAATGTGATCTTAAGATAAAGTGTTTGTTTGTTTGGGGTTTTTGGGTTCAGGTATTTAAAAAAAGATTATATTTGTCTGTACTTACAGCACTAAGGTTTAAAAATATGATGGTGTACTGTGAAAGACATTTGAGTTTTGAGTGTTGAGTAAGAGTCACTTAGGATTCATTCAATAAGTTCATTTTTGCTATGTTGTTTTTGGTTATTTAAAAAAATCTTCTCTTAGGTGTGTATTAAAATATCAAGAAGTTTCAGTATATCCCTATACACTACAGAAAAAATTTTTTAGCCTTAGAAGAGTTATAATGTAGACAACATATGTAATCAATATTTTCCTTTGATGTCATAAGCTTCCTTTTGTAGATTTAATACTTAGAGCCATTGTTTTGAAAATGGCAATGTGAATTTGTTTTCTGTTACCTGTCAGTTTATTAGAATGTCCCTTTGTTACTGTTCTAGATGATGATCCGGAAGAGAGAGAGAAACAGGTGAAACTGTTGCTGTACGCTAGAGCTGAGCTGCGCACTTCGGACCACAGGTGATTGGCCGAATGAATTAAATTGTTTGGCGGAATGGGTGAAATAATTTGGCCGAAGGATTGAAGCTATTTTCCGGATTGAAGTTGTTTGTCTGATTGAAGTTATTTGAATGGATTAATGTTTGAATTAATGAAGTTGTTTGTCTGTCTGGCACTTGGAACGACCGAAAGATCATCACACTGTAAAAGGAACTTTATCTACCATGTTTATGAAGTTGATCTGATGGTTCCTGTCGTGTAGGTTGTTACCATGGTAATTTTAGAGAGATTACCTGGTCCTCCCCCCCCCCCACCCCCCCACCCCGGCCTCACTGTTGTTTCTTTCTGCCTAACCTGCCTTTTTTATCCTGACTCTTTGTGTTGATATGCTTTTTTTACTCAAACTAAAACTGAAAATACTCAATCTAAGAGAAAATAAAATATCTTTGTAAAGAATGAATAGACCAAAAATAAATTTAAGTGTGTACCAAAACATGCTTCTTCTTACTCAAATAAACAAACAAACAAAAATCCAAAACGCAGCTTTTTTCTGACATTTTTCTTTCCTTTTCTTGACAATTAAGTACACAAAAATGGGACATTTTTGGGCTATAATATTCCTGTGACCTCATTAATAACATGCATCATTGTCATGTTTGGAGACGTATGATTGTTTTCCCCTTTCCCGCAGTGGGTGGTTGGTGGGTGCTCTGGTGTGCTTTGCTATTTCTTTTCTATCAAATATCTATCGTCCTTATCTGTCTTCTTTCTTTTTTACGTTTGCTAGTATGTCATAAGTAGTGTAAAAGTTTTACTAAAACAAAACAAAACTTTTCCACAGACCAGTTATGGCGTTGTTTGATGTGGAGACTCCAGTCCTAGAGGAGGACAAGAAGAGTGCGGTGCTGAATCAGGTGGTCAGCGAACAGGGACCGCCTGACGGGACAGTCATCGTGTCCATGGCTGACGGCGGAGAGCTGTCAGATGAGACAGTTAATGAGATTGTGGCCAAGTTTAATGAAGTGGGAGACATCATCATCGTCAGGTGAGTTTTAAATATAAAAACATTTCTGCAGCATTTTGCTTTTCTTTTTTAATTTTAATAAACTTTTCACGACACTTGCAACACAATAAGGTCATATAGGTGCCGAAGATTAGAGGTGTTACAAGAGAGTAACAAACACGAAAAAGGAGGAGAGGAGATAATCATGATAGATGTTTCATAGGAAGGATAAGCAAACCACACCAGAGCACCCGTCAACAACCCATCAGTTTACTTTGCTGTAAGTGTCATATTGTGTTGCTCTTCTAAGAGGTAACACTGTGAGATGAAGGTTTGCTCACCAATCTCATCTAGTATACACTTTTGATGGAAATGTCGGAGGGAATGATTCAAGAGTGACACCACTAGATTCCTACTTTTTTTTCCCTCTGTTCTTTGTGTCTTGCTTTTTTCCTTGCACTAAAGGGTGTTGGTATGTCTCTTTATTATTCAAACTTTAAAAGTTAACTCTTTTTATCCGGGCTACGAGTATACTCGTAACGAGGACCAGTCCGGGCTACGAGTATTCTCGGAACAGCGATACGGTCACGTCAAAGAAGCTAGTTCTGCTTGTAATTACCAAAATACGCAAATACGCCAATGCTAGCTCTGCCTGAATATTTTAATTTTCCAATGAATAGTGGTTTCTTTGTTTTTGATGAGTGTAGAATCTTAAAAGATGTCTCGAAAACGCACTTTCACGACCAACGAAGTACTTTTTGAAGTGGCGCTGGGTAGTGAGGGGGAATGATACTAATTTGATGAAAGTGACTCAGAAATAAGTGCCGTAAATTCCGTTGTGGAAAATAAGAAACAGGACTTAAACTCATCTAATAGCGATTCAGATCATGGTGAAGGGGTCAGTACTGGAATTCGTGCTCAATGGGTAGGGCTAGATCTAGATCTATAAAATCCAATGGGACGTCGTGGGCGCGGCAATCAGGGTCAAGTTCGAGGGTGGAATACACCTCAAAATCAACATTGTGCTATTGGTGTATTTCCTAACAACATACATTTACAAAAACTACATTCAATTTCTAACATAACTGCCAAATTTCCTTAAAACCTTAAAGAAAATGTAAGAAATATAGCACTTTGAACTATACGCACTGACTTCTGACGCATACGGCGCAGCGGCCCCAGGACTGGTACAGAGTTCGTGGGGGTACGGCTAGGATAAAAAGAGTTAAAGTTAGGCTTTTGAAAATTTTTATTACATTTTTTATGTTGATTTTTTCCCTTCAGATTTGTGGGCTCGGACATGTGGGTTCTGTACCAGAGGGGTCAGTGTGCCCTGGAAGCCTTGCAGTTTGATCAACAGGAGGTCAGCTTGCTTGTCTTTGTCCCGTCTCCTGGGCTGATGTGGGATAGTATCTTAGAGAGGAAGTGTGTCTACATACTCAGAATTCTCTCAGAACATTCTTCTATTCAATATGATATGTTATGGTTTGTTAGCTTTGTTCCTCATAAAGGTAGCCGGAATGCAATACTCACCCTAACCATGCAAATTAAAATATGTATTGAAATGCAGTAGGATCTTTATATATATCTAATTAATTACTCAACGGCTTTTGACCAAGTTAAACGTGACGAACAATCTAAAGTTCCGGAAGATATAGATGTAAATAAAAAGGATGTAAGAATTATTAGCAATCTTTGCTGGGACCAAAATGCTGCTGTAAAAATTAAGGGAAAGTACAATGAATGTAAACATATTAAAATAGGCAAGGATGTGCTTTTTCCACAGACTTCTTTTACATATGTATGCAGTAAAATAATTCTTAGAAATACAGAAGAAAGCCCAGATCTGAAAGTGAATGATGGAAATATTTGTCTCACTAGCAAAGACTTAAAAAATCAAAGAAGTCTTCTTATTGTGCAGTTAGTTGTTTAACTGCCTGATGTTGCCGTATCTTTTCCTTTCATGATACCGCTCTGCTCCCATCAGTTTGCCGGAAGCCAGGTGCAAGTGAGACTCAAGACCCAGGATTGGCGTGAGGAGATAGAGAAAGAGCTCAACCTGTGCTCCAGCAACACTGCGCCAATGTTCAACCAGTTCAGCAACTCCCTGCTGGGGGATGACTTCAGCATTCCCTCCATGGAGTTTGACATAGACGAAGGTAATGGACTGTAGAGGGGGTCAAGGAGATCCGTCCTTTGTTGAGTTTTTAGTGTCTTGGGGGCGGGAGGGGGAGGGGAGAGGAATTATTGATCATTCGTTGTTTTGGTTTTTATTTAGTTTCTAATAGGGAGATATCCATTCATTGTTTTCATTTGAGTTTTTAAATGTCCCTATGTGCTGTAATACTTTTTGAACATAAAATTTATTGACCAAAATCATGTATTTTTCCAAATTGGGAGGACAAAAAAACCAATTAGTTGTTAAGTTGTAACTTCTCTTCAAGTTATTTGATCTCAGTATAATGTTCGTTTACATATTAATTGAATATAGAGATATCAATGCCTAAGTAAGATATAAAGATGTTTCTTACACTTTCCTTGATTCCAAATGCATTGACCATGTCTCTCCTTTAGAACACATCAAGGAAGTCAAGATCGGGGGGTGGGGGGGGGGGGGGGGTACACTTGTGCAATATACTTTCTCAGTGTCTACCGCCCAGGCAAAGCGGTATAATGCTTACTGCTTTGTCAATTGAACAGCAGAAGATAACCCATACCATTCCACACCTACTTAAAAATGCTTTCTTTTTCTTTAATATAGTCAAGCATGTGCTTTACGAAATCGACAGGACTAGGAAATCTTTTCGTTATGTATGGATTTCACTATAAGTGTGTTTTATATGCAAGAGAAAAATTTAGGACCTGTAAATCTTTTCCTTATGTGAGTGATCATCGTGTGAGTGATATAATGTACTACCTGAGAATCTCTTGACTCATACTACAGCTGATAGTACCACGATCTAATTAACTGAAAATGCTGCAGAGAAACTGATCCGTTTGTTTGAGTGTAAAAGGCAAAATTTGAACCACTAATAATGTATTTGACAGTGTGATGTAATACTATTCTGTATTATGTAACAACATTCTGTTGGTTCCCTATTTAATCATTGTACTGATTGAAGTTTGAAATATGACCTTTGGCTTCGATTTGATTTTTGTTTTTTTAAATTTATTTATTTATTTTTATTTTTATTTTTTTATTTTTTTTTTAATTCAGTAAGAGTTTTTTAGGGCAAGCGACTGCATAAAGTCATATGAGAGCAAAATTTCCAAATGTAAATGCAAGTACACAAGTCCTACTTCTAACTCCCAGGGCAGTGCTACTGACCTAAGTGTCTTTATGCCATTCCCAATGGGGGGGACATTAACATGTTCTTATGCTCTGTAAAATTGTAAATGGGCTGATTCATCAATGTCATGCTTATAACTGTGCCTGAACTGCAACAGGGAACTGCTGCTTTTTCTTTCCTAATCCTTACTGTTGTCATTTTCCTCTGCTTCTTTTGTATGTTTGTCACACTCATGTGGCCTGCTATTTCTGGGGTGCCTTGATAGTCGAAGCAGACTTTGTGATGTTGAAGCCAGAGAGGTGAGCAGAGTGGGCCTGATTCCCTGTATTGACTTCTCTGTTGACATCCTCCCCTTGGTGCTCATAAGACCTTAAGCAGTTGTGAGCGCCGTTAAAACTACTAAAACTAAAGCCCTACTTCTTTGTTTATAATGTCTTCCCTGCCCGGCACAGGTGAGGCTGAAGAACTGGCTGATGCAGAAGTGGCCTCAGCACTGGATGCTCCTCTGGACCCGCGACCGTCATCCGGCAGAAATACACCAACAAGTAAGTGGAGCTTGACCGCTTTGTTGATCAGTTTCTCCCTGTGGGTTTACTTACTTTTACTTTACTTTTCCGGACCTATGTTACCTTGCGGTGTTGAGGGGAGAAGCAAATGTCTTTCTCCTCTTTGTTGTATCGCTTGTTGCATGGTTATGTTGTGCTTGACTAATCTTTCTCTGACCCCCTCTATCCATCTTTTCCTGGGTCTGCCCCTTCTTTTGTTTCAATCTGATTACCGGTTATATGCTCTGACTGCTATACTGTCTGGTGGTTATTTTGTCAGGTGCCCAAACCAATTAATTTGGTATTTCTCTATGTATTGCAAGCTGGGAGTTGAGCCAACTTGTTCCTTCATGGTTTTGTTTCTTACCCTGTCTCTTCTTGTGATGTTTAAAGTAATAAATAAACCCACTGCTCCACCAGTGGCAGTTGCGACCCCCTCCATTGGTGCAGTGTCACCTGTCAGCATCTGCCCTCGTACACATAAGATACATTTTCTTCAGTGTTTCATCTTTCTTCTCTCCTTTTTCTTCCTGATTTTTTCCTACCCAGGCTGACCATGGAATAAAAATACTCGACTGTCCCATCGACAGGGGGTGCAACTCCCTTGATGGTTAGGTCCTACTCATATATCAATGGCTTTCTGATACAGGGGGGACACCTTTTGTTCGATCTTGCAGTATTCTGCCCATCGATCTTTCTCTCTGATCTGTCAACTGAAGGAGCGGTCTTGGGAGAAAAGTAGACACCATATCCCCACAGCGCCCTGTAAGCAGTCTGGTGCAACCTGAAAGAAAACCCTGGTGGCTGAGGAAGGGAAAGAGATTGGCACTAACCTGTGGATACTGCAAATTTATATTTTTTGTGTTTGTGATCAAAGTTTTTTAGTAAAATTCACACTTATTTGTGTTATTATTATTAAATGGACATATAAGGTCCCTCGCTCCCCCGGTATTCCATAAAATATTGTCCAATGGGCGAAAAAAATGTCGGATTCTTCAATTTCATTATTTTGACAAATGGGTGATTTCACCACAATACCACACATTTACTCTCTTTAGCCCTTTGAAGTCCTCTTGTTTACGAAAAACTATCTTGAATAGAAAAAGCTATCTGAGCATTTTCATTTCATCTCTTTATTCTTTTCAGGTCAGCACAGTCCTGCTCCTGGGTCTGACCAGCTGACCACTTCTGACATCCCAGGTGGGCCCCCTGTACCCGGCCGTCCACTAAAAAGCTCCCCTACACACAGGTCAGGGAGTAGGAGTCCAGCTGCCGCCTCCTGGGACAGTGGTCAGTCAGTGGTCAAGGAGGCGATGCAGCCACTCAGAGCCTCTCCAGCTCCTACAGGGGAGGTGAGAGTCGAGAGGAAGAATGTGTCTTTGTGTGTGGGGGGAAGGGGGGGTGATCAAAAGGAATTTAAATGATAAGTAATGATAGAAAGGGCATCACTGCTGGTGTTCAAGAGTGCTTTTTTCTTTGTTGCTACTCTAATCTTAGGGCACTTTAATTAAAGTGTGCTTAGAACTTGAAAAGTGTGTCGCATTCACTGATAGGTGTGTGAAGCTAAGCGAGAAACCTAATGTGCTTGTCAGTCTTTTTCATCAGTTGGATTTGTTGAGCTTGTTGAACAGGACAGTCAGAATGTGTTTACCACATACTTAACAAAGTTTTTTACCACGGCACCATCGCCTGCTGGTTTTAGGGTTGTGCTTCATTAGAAAAATGAATTTTCAACACAGTGGAAGTGCAGCTATCTGCCAAAAAGTAACTGCTGAAAACCTGTTCCATGGACATTGACATAACTAAAATACTGACAAAAAAATGGATTTCACAGTCCCACACATATACACAGACGATGCACAGTATGATTTTCAGAGCCAGCTACTGAAAGAGCTGTGCAAAAAGAGGCATAGGGAGGAGCCTAACAAAAAGCCTGCACTCATCATTGTACTTGAATTGAAAAAAATGCAAATGGACTTCCCTAGAGAGTACATTTCAGTTAAACAATCCATGGATAACCAGAGAAATAAAGCTCACCCAAGACACCCAACTTCGATTGAGGAAACAAGAGGACTGCTGAAAGCCAAAGATTTTGAAGTTCCTGATGACATGGCTTTTTCTTTTCAAAACAAAGTCATTATGATATAACACAGAGGGAAAATTGGGAAATGCTTTGTACAGAGAAAGTGTGGAAATACTTGTCACAGCAATCGGTATTGACCCTGGGGAGAAAAGTTGCCCGAATTTCATAGCACAAGCAAAATAGGCCTATAGGTGGAGAGACATATTGCACCCCAAAATGAATGCCTGAACAGTTCATTCCAAACCACAGTACAGTAATGCCTTCAAATAGGAACGAACTGACAAACAAGTTTGTTTTTAATGTGTGAGTCACAGTTTGGCCTTTTTTTTGGGGGGGGGGGGGGGGGCCTTGAGATACAAGCTGAGTTTTGAGGTGGAGGAGAATGTTGGGTTTTTTTTTATGTTAATTAAGTGTTGAAGTTAATCTCCAGTATTGTAGACTAGATTTGCCATTGGTAGGCTAAGTTAGCAGTTGTTAAGCTAGCTATTGTTGTCCCTCCCTCTCTCCTCTGCCAGTTGACATATGACTCGTAAGAACTTTTTGCTTAAATACAGTGTTTCTTTACAATTTGTTTTTTTCTCTCTTGTTCAATTAGATAACTATATTCATCATATTATTCATCCACTTTTCCTTGTACGAAACTCTCAAAATAAAAATGAGGATGAATTTTGTGCCTAGTTTGACTTACTCTTTAATTATTTGATTATAAAAATGTGATATTGAGGGCCCGTAAGACAAATGGTAGTCACCTGACAAATTTGTACACTGTCCTGACGGATTCTCCCCAGAGCAAACAGCCTCCTGCTCGCCCGAGCGCACCCCCGTCCAGACCTCCCCCGCCTCAGAGACCCCCCGGAGGCCCTCCACGGCCGGCCTCAGCAGCGGTTGCTGCCCCAGCTGCACCCATGACTGGACCAGGTTTGACTCAACTTTTTAGATGACTGGCCATTCCTACCTCCGCTTTCCGTCTTCCTAAACTTTAGTCATCTTATTTCAGTTTGACTTAGGTATAAACAAATGTATTTTTATTTTGGGTGATAATATTCTCTAATCAGACTGGTTATACCTTTTTTCCCCTTTCTATTGGGCTTTTCATGTTGTATGTTTAGTTTTAGTTCCTTGTACAGACTTGTATCTGTACCAAAATAGTTGGGGGGGGGGGGGTTGTGTAATGGTCATACTTTTCCTTTCTTCATTCTTTGCATTTTCATCTAATTACTTTAACCCTTTGAGCCCTGACCTCCTGATGCTACCATCCCCCTCTGCCTGAGCCCCTGAGCGATATGTTACTAACATTCATGTGATTGTCAGAATCACATTACCCCCACTCTGGGTAGTTCTCGTCCTTACTAGCATCTAATTCAGAAAGATCTTCAAAATAATCAGTAACGTCCTTTGTAGTAAACACGGTTTCCTACCTGCATTTTGTCCCAGGCGGGCCGGTTTAGAGACAGGATCTCGCTCACCACTGTACCAGTGAATAGGTCTACGGGCAATTCTACGCGCCACCGATGTACCAGTGATGAGGGTTCAAAGGATTAATTGTCGAAAAGATAATTTTTGCTGATAATTTTCTTTTGCCTTTTTTGGTGTTATGGATACATTTTCTAAAGTGGTGTTTCCTAAATTGAAAGTTTGACTATATTCTATTGCGTGATGCTACCTTCAGGCGGTCCGGACAGGCCAGCGGCTGCTGCGCCTACAAAGATGAGACAGCCCCTACGGCCCGCACCGTCGGAGAAAGCCAAGATCAAGAAGCCTGCCAGCAAACCTGTAAGTCGTGTCATAGACTAGTTTGCTTTCCTACTCACGATACTGAGACATCAAAACTTTTTACCGTACTGCTGAAATACAGTTCTGGGTGATTTCATCGTAATAAGAGGGGTTAACTAAGATATTCTGTTGGACTCTTCGACCCTTCAATCCAATCGGGTTCCTACACTGGGTCAGATTGGGGTCTCGGGCCTGCAAAATGATGTAATCTAGTGTATCAAATTTCTCACTAATCTTTAGCACAATGTCTTTGAAAATGGCCATGAGAATTAATATCATATATTAGCTAGCATGAAAGGAAATTTGGAGTATTTCAGTTTATAAAGTTTTGTCAGGTACATGAGTAGAAAAAACTGAAGCTGAGAAAAATCCTGTTCCATTTATTTTGAACTGTTTACAGCCTCTCGCAAGCACAATTGTTGATCTGCAGACAAATTCCTCTGAAATTGCGAGCACTATACACTTACAAACAAATGTATGAAGTATCAATGAGATTTGAAAATTAGGACAAATCAAAATTATTGTAGCCCAACCCCCTTAACGTTTTAGTTCTTTAGAAAATTGCAAAAATCGTTTTCTCAGATGATTCCTGACGTTTTCTCGTCTTATGTGTTTGTGTAGATTGGCCAGATTGGCCTCCCCACCAACGTGACACACCACGGCCATGCCAGCAGCATTGAGGAAGCCCAGGCTCTTATAGAAAAGCTGATGGCTGTGCCCAACGACGAGGGGGCTTCTGGTTCCTCCGATGACTCGGGTGCCGCAGTCTCACTCCCTCCTCCTCTCGCTCCATCTCGGTCAGAGACGAACCTTTCCAGTGGTAGGTACTCACTTGGATACCTTAGAGTTACAATGTTCTATCTAACATTTTTTGCCATTTTGAGTTACTGAAATTGTGAGGTCAAAATAAACAAATGTTCCATCTACTCTATCAAAATCATATGATTCTTCGCTGTCGTTATCAAGATATTTGAAATAGCTTGACATTTTGTGAAACTCTAAATTTTTTACATCAAATTTCTCAAAACTAGGTACTGCGCAGATAGAACTGTGTAATTCTAGGGTAGGGGCTTGTTGGTATGCTGATATTATCAGTCAACGTCTTCCTGCCTATTGGTGTTTGTGGTGTAGCGGTAAGCTGTTTCCAACCACATACCGAAGATGTCAGTTAAACTTCAGAGTTAGAAAGTTTTTTTTAGTACTTGCTCTGTCGTGGTCAGACATAATGTACAGTTTCAAAATATGTCGAAGTATACTAAAGTGTATTTTACTCTTTTTTTTCAAAACCTGAATGATTTCTTTCCTTTCCCAACTCATGATCAACTGCAGATCATCACTATTATCACTGTTCACGTTATTATCACTTACATCACTCAAGATTTCATGCAATATGCATGAGGTGAAATGTTTCCTGGCACTATTGAATTTGAAGGATAAACAGATTCTTTGGTGTCTTTCAAAAACATCGAATAATTTGTGTTTGAGATGTTAGATATCAATGTCATTTATTTTATCTACTTAGCCTAAGAGCAATATAGTTAATGGACCAGATATCTCTATTAGTATAACTAATTAGATCCTCTTTTGTCATGAATAAGTATGATCTGAATTGCAGCAGTTGTTATTGTTGTGTGATTCTACTTATTCAGATGTGGGAACGGTGTACAGATCTAAAATCTAAAAAGTTTGAATGTTAAGGGAAAGCCATGTTCAAGTCCGCTCTCAACTTTCACTATAATACTTCCTGCTGAAAATAAACGAGACTCGTCATTTGTGAACAGCGGGAAAAAATGAAAAGGCTGAGAGGAGCAATCATGCCAGTAGAAGGGAAGTTGAAAACCTGCTTCCCCTTTTGAAAAAATACCAATGCAGATATTGTGTTGGTTCATTTTGTGATTTAATAATAAAAGCGCAACTGACACAGATGTAACTTTGGGAGCAGGTAAGTCAAAGAGGAACATTTGTTTCTTATTTGCTTGAAACAAAAACTTTCAGACACATTCAGGTTTACCAAAAATTTCTTTGCTCCCTGCAGCTTCCGATTCTAGTCAGCTCGTTCCTAAGCCTGTTCCCCGTAGCAAGACCTCAAATGAGCTGTTGGAGGATTCGACCCCAGACTCTGTCCAACAGCGGCCAATCCCTAAGCAACGCAGTCAGGACAGCCCCACAGATGATTCAAAGCTGGTGAAGATGACAGCAGCACCAGAAGTCAAGGACCCCGGTCTGTCTGCGCCAATAGCCAGACCAAGGCCGGCCCCGCGAAGAGATGTTCAAAGTTGTATCGTAGATAGCCCTGTACAGGGACTCTCGCAGTCCTTGCCGCCTGCCCCAAACAAGCGACCAGGCAGCGTTTTGGTCATGCCCACTCTCCCCGGCCCTGCTTCTAGACCCGCCCCTCCGCCCCCTTCTGCCCGCCCCGCACCCCCACCCCCTAGTGCCAGGCCAGTCTCTGCGTCCCCTTCCCCCACCCCCCTCCCTGCTCCAGTCCCCCCTGCCCGACCCTCTCGACCGTCTGCCCCATCCTCAAACAAAACTAACAACCCTTCAGCCCCCGACCCATTTGACTCATCATTTGTGAACGATGGGAAAAATGAAAATGCTGCCCATATATTAGACAGAGAGAATAGCATGGTAGATACAAACCCGTTAGAAGCTGATCCTTTTGATACTTCATTCGTCAAACCCCAAGGGCTGGCTTTCCCTGGGAGTGTTTTTGGTCCTAATTTCAGCAACCCGGCTGTTAAGCAGACGGTAGATTTGTCTGCAGACCAGTTAAACAGTAAGTCCTCTTCAGATCCTTTTGACACGAGCTTTGCTACTAAAAAGGGACAAGATAATTCGCAGTCAGCATTTTCCGACCCATTTGATACAAGTCGTATACCGAGGCAATCCCCGGTTCAGTTTGCTTTGGATGGGTCAGGTGGAAGTGCAGCGAATATCGCCAAGACAGATGTAAGTAATGAGAACAACAGCAACAGCCAGGAGCCTTTCGTTAGCACTGGAGGTGAAGCCTTCGCTGCTTTGCCTTCAGATCTGCACACACCTCAGGCCCCTAGCATCAGCCCACCCCCGCTCCCACCTGATGCATCTCCCCCGAGCATAAAACCTCCTTCTCCCCCACCTCCAATGAGTTGTCCCTCAGAAGCTCCGCCTCCTCCCCCACCACCTAGACCTGTTGACGTAGCTGACCCCGCCCCTCTGGCCCCACCCCCTGTCCCATCTAGGACCAATGCTGTCCCCCCTCCTATTCCGAAAAGACCAACATGATATTATTCTTCTTAGATTTGTTTTTTCTTTGGTTCAGTTTGTACGATGGAAAATTCCTGGTGCAGATCTCAGTTTCCCTGTTCACTAGCTTTCGAGAACGTTTTTTGAATGTGAATAGAGGCCTGTCTGCTACTGTCCTTAGTCATGCAGAATGGTGACTAGAAAAAAGGTTGCGATGGATCTGCTTTCCTGTTCGATTCTTTAGGCAGAAAGAATGACAAAAAGAATAAACTAACTGTACACTCTTTTCAACAGACCGAAATGTTCTAATGGAAATATGAAAATCTGAGTCATTCAGAGATGATTATTTTACTCTGCTGTTTTCACAAATGCTGTCTTTTTTTTTATTGTGTCATAGTTTCATAGTACATGGCGTTATGTGTGCTTTGTTTGTAGAAACAAAATTTGTTGCTTCCATCATATTCCAACATTCATTTCATACTGCATTCCATTAATATATCAACGTCAGCGTGTGAATCATCTCCTTTGTTTTATACTTTCAAATTCTACTGCTGTGGTTAAGAATACCTCCTCTGTTTCTTCCATATTTTGTTCTCTTAGCTACCAGCTTGTATTTAATCAATTGTTGTTTTTTTTCTGAAGTCCTCTGTGCTTTTGAGGGCATTTATACATGCAAGGACGAAAATAGGTGAGAGTCATCACCTCTTAATGATGGAAATGGAAGTATTTGTATTCGTGCATGATTAAAAGTTTGGTTTTTTTTAGGTTTGTTATAAAAGCCTGACTTTGAAGGTTCATTTTACTTTATGAGTATCAAACTTTTACATTGATTTTCTTTCTTTCTTGACATAATATGATGAAATGCTTCATAGCAAGTGACAATGCATTTATCATTACAGAAACCAAAGTGTTAGAAATCCTGTCTTTAGGATATAGTCTTCATTTATACATTGGACTGAGAGCAATGCAAAACTTTGATTCCTCGAATGGTGGTGGCAAGGGATTTTTTTATCAAGTATGTTCATATGTCTGCTGGGATGTTGTATCCCTCTCTGCTCTCAGCCAGGCTTACCTTGACAGGAAGTTTTGAGGCCGCCCACCCCATAATTGATCAGGGATATAAAACATTAACAATTACAATCATAGATGTTTATGTATGTTCTTTCTATTGAGTGAGTTTCTGGCTTTCGAGTGAAAAGACCAACATGACAAAATGATGAATGACAAACTTGAAATCCACTTAATTTTTTTTTTTTGTACTGCAGTTTCCCTGGAAGACCCAGGAGTGAGTCAATAGTAAGATTTGTACTTGTACTTTCAGTGTTCTTGCCTACTTATGTTAGTTTTAACAATGTTCTGTGTTTGTTGTGTACCTTTGTGTAGAAGCAGAAAGTTGATGTGACTTTATAAAACTGTAATCTGCTTCTACTTTAAATACTTTGACCATTGTTGGTAGTGTAATGATGAAGCTCTTTTAGATTCCCTCTTTGGAAAGTTATAGATCAAGTTAAAATTCATCAGTGTGCCCGGCTGCTGCAACCCACTCTGCCCAAGTTAATCCCGTCAGGTATGGTCAAACAAACCGCATCCTCGGTGATCTAGATTGTGTTGATGAGGGATGAAATATTAACTATCAATGATCCTTCTTTGCTTGTGTCTGGCCTGGCTACTGTTCTCATCTTCTCTTGTCAAGGTCTGGCTAGGGTCGTGCTAACATTATGTCGTAAGGTGTAATTTGAGAAAAAAGATTTAGGAGCAATCAACTGTCCATGTTTTTATCATTATAATTTCTTTTGTTTTATCATGACGTTTAACGAACCCTGGTTGTAAATTCCTTATTTCTTGGCTCTAGGTTACATTTAAATATGCCGTGTTCTATCCCTTTTGTTTTCTCCCTAATTTACTGACGTCTTTGCTGTAACCTTCAGGCTCTTCGCCATTGCACTCAAAAGACGTGACTTTGATTCCCACGTGGGAAGTTCTATTTTATTGAGAATGTTGGTCTTTCTACAGGAATGCTATATCCCACTCAGCTTGTGTTGGTGTTGACTTTTATAGAGTCAATTGCAATCAATCAAGAGCAATATTTCTTTAACCCTATCAGTACGCGGTGGGGTCATTTTGTACCCCCGGGTTGTATTCTTCACTTTTTAGAATACTTCTAGTACGAAGATCTCTTTGAAACTTTCAGTATTTCTCAAAAAATCATTTTGACACACTTCTATGCAGAGCGTACGGATCGGATTAGGGAGTAAATTTCCTCTCTGAAAGTGGTGGCACAGAATTCCCCACACCGCATAGATACGATAGTAAAACGCGACGTACGGATAGAGTTAAGAGTCATGAGTTCTGCGTGTCCTATTCCATTTCTTCACATTGGTGGAGTCAACAAGAGTGAAATGACAAACTTGCCCTGTTCATGTTCAAGAGTTTTGTGTTCAGTCTCATGGGACTGCCTCCTAAATGATCCTGATTGAATCAATGGGGATGTAAAACATTTACAATAATCTTGTTAGTGTTTGAGGTTCTTCTGTTTCTGTTAGTTGTGTCAGTTAATGTGACAAAGGTAACAGTGCAATAATGGAGCTCACAAATGTTCATGTTTTGTATGTTTATGATTATAATGAGATTATCTGTATGATATGGACCACCTGTCTGTGATATAAGTCAACTTTGGGGCTTTGATCGCCTTCATGTCTTGTTCGAATTACGACCATTACTTCATGCTTTTGTCTTTTTGTCAATCACTATTTCATGATTTCGTCTTCGCATCAGTTATTGTATCTCTTGAAAGCTTATGTACAAAGTTTTGTCGTCTATAACGAATTGGGATAATATGTGTGTTTTTGTGGTACTTGGAATGACAAATTAATACACTGCATAAATGTTTTACACTGTAGATTTAGTTATAAATGTTGATAGGTTCACCTGATTCCATCATTCGGAGGATGGTTCGAAGTTGCCACTGGTTGATCTTACTTCTTTTCTGTCCCTCTGTAGTTTCTGCCTATCTGTCTTAGTTTTTCCCCCACCCCTAATGGTTGTTATTCTGCTGATATGCTTCTCTTTACTCTAACAATAGCAAATGTTGTTCATTAAACTTATTGTAGTATTGCCCAGGCTTGATGCCCTGTCAGACTTGTTGTTGAAATCCGCGAAGATGTAGTAAGGGTCTTGTTGATTTTGGGGGTACTTTGCGCACAGTATCCTGAACCAGTGTTTGTGGTGTCATGGTTAGGCTCCTTGTTGTTGCTAGCAGAGGATGTGACTTTATTTCAAAAGTGAAAAAGTAATCTGTCAAGTATCTTGGCCAAGGCAGCCCACTTCTTTGATGTTGTGAGTTGTATTGATGGGGATCTAACATAATTTTCATTATTGGGCAGCTGTTCAGATGTATTAAGTCAAAAATTTTGAACATTTTTTCTTTGGACTTTTTTAGTCTGTGATATTTGTTTCATGTGCCCAAGAAATGTTTTTTGAAATTCAGATTCTAAGTATTATAAAAATTTAAAAAATAGTTACATACTGTATGTAGGTTCCATTGTTAAAAGAATGAAATTATTTTTTCTCTCCTGAAAAATTGTTGCTTTCTTGGCTTAGTAGATTTGAACAGCTTGCAGACAGAGATGCATACATGTTTTTGCAGTCAGTCATTGTCCTGGGATTGAATGAAGGTCTACCCTTTTGTTCTGTGGCCTGTTCAGAAGCCAGCATAATCCTGTTGCATGATCTACTCAGCTTGCAGCTTCAATCTGTTGAGCAAAAGTATGCCAAAAGCTTAACTTGTATCATGATAGACCATGGTGTGGATGACCCTCAGTTGAATTCCCTATGGGGATGATTTTCCACCAGGATTGTTTGTGGAGGTTTTCAAAACTCGCTCCATTGCGTCGGAGATGAATGTTAGATGTGGAGGTCTGGCCTCTTAATTTGACCTCTGGATGTTGAAACGTGCTGCTTTAAACATCATGTACGGCTACTGCTTAATTATCAATTCAGGTAGATCGTCAACATGATTTTGTACGCTTGGTTTAAAACGTTTTATTGTGAAGTAGTTTTAGCACCAGCATAGGTTGCCTTTCTTGGGTTGAATTTGGGAAGACTGCATTAATTTTTTTTTTATTATTTTGGTCAATTTAGCTGTCAGACTTATTAGTAAGCCTTCTTATTCTTTAAACTTGTGTTCCCGGTAAAAATCCTAAAGAGTTTGCTGTATGCTTGAATGTAGTCGCTCTCCTCTGTCGTAGCAGTAACAATGTTGAGTTAATGGGAGTTCTTGTGTATGCATTTATGCACAGGGCTGGGTTCACCTTCCACTGCTTTTTGTACCCGTTTTGTAGTTTGTAGTTGTTCCTTCTACCACCTACGTTTTATGAGAGAAGCGATTCTTTATTGTTTTGTCTTTGCTGTTCCCTCTCTCTGGAAGTGCCAGTGCATGTTGTCACATGATCTTGACTGGAAAAAGTAAGATCAGGCTTTTGCTTTTGAGTCCTGTCTTTAAGAAACTGTGGAGGTAGTTGTGAATGAATAATGAGTGGAGATTTAAAATTACAAAGTGCAGGTCACAATGTTACCAATATTTTGTCTTCTAAGCTGTCATAATTCTCATGTTTTACTACTTATCTTTCCCTCTGTTTCTGTCTGTTTGTCTTTTTTTTCTCCTCAGTAAATGACCGTTTTCATGCAGATGAGCTACTGTTTACTCAATGTAATTAAAATTATGTCGTTCCCTCAAGCAATAGACATTTTCTGTATACATTGTTAGCTAAAATGTAAATATTTGTTCCTTGAAGCATATGAGGTGGACTTTTCCATGGAATGTGAGAATACAAGATAGATTCTTTAACTTGATTTGTTCATCACCTCATTCTTTTTGTTTTAATGCTGCTCCCATGAGCACCGCTATTTACCATTTGATTTGGAGTAATAGAAGAATTGAGCATGCAGAAAAAAATGTGAGGCAGCGTGTTTATAGAATTTTCGTTTTTTGGCTCAACACCGTTCATGGCCATTAAAGAACACACTTCTGTGAGGATTTT